TTTTTGACAAGGACAGGGGTGGCCGTTTCGGATGTACGGAGCTAATGTGTAAAAAATGGTAGTTTTTGAGAAAACTAAGCATAAAAAAACTTCCTGCTTGTGTTGATGAAACGACTGCATTGGGGATTTTTTTATGTCCTATTTACTTTAATTTCTATTTTTTTTTTTGAATATCGAAAATAATCCAATATCCAGATATTTCTAATTATAATAATAATTATATATTTCTAATATTTCTAATTCTAAACATCACTTATATACTTTAAATAAATAATTTTAACTTTGCAATTCAGTTTATATATTCTTGTAAATCAATGCACTTCATTTTAAATCCGACTTTTATAAAAATGAAAATAATTAAAGTTGTAGTATTTATAATAATCTAATTGAGAACATTTAATATTCCTCTAATATTTTATTAAGGTACGGAAGTTCCAGCAATTTGCCTTAAGGCACGATACCATACACCACTAGTTTCATTATTTTAGAAATACATATATTTTACATTTAAAAAAGGAATACTTAAAGTCTATCGCCTAGATTTTATAATTTGAAGAGTTCAAAAAATACAAATTAGAGATTTACTCTCACAATCAGGAAATTTAATATAAGTGTGTATGTATGTTTACATCTTCTAACAAAATAATTTTAGAGTACAGAAATTAATTGTTGATTCATTTTATATTCGTATAACTCGTAATTTTTTATAAATATATCTTTTTCTGAATTCTCTTAAGTTAATTCACCTCTTTGAATAAAGAATCAACATGAGAAGTGTTTTGTTAGAAGAAAATTCACAAACAATTATCAAATGATTATTTTAAGTTAAAGTTTTATCAATTTACTCTTTTAATTAAGTTTAGTTTTTGTGTATTTTTAGTAATTTATTTCGTGAAGATTTTAAAACTATCAAATCGTTATGTAAATGTGAAAATATTAAATACTGTATAAATCACATTTTGATACATTCAAGAGCGAAATTTTTATAATTTTTTTTTTAAATTATGACACATTTGCAGAATTTTTAGAACATAGTTTATTTGGATAAAAAATTATGAAATAATTGAGCAAATCCATGTTTTACTTGCAAGATAAGGCTTACATTTTATGGCTCGCTGATAATGCATTGCGTATAGTAATTTTTACAAACTACGCTTTTTTCTTTGCCTTTAAAAATGAAATTATAGAAGATATATTGATTGCTGTTAAATTAGAAATCGCGGGAAACTTTGAAAAAATATTAAACTAGTGGTGTATGGCATCGTGCCTTAAGGCAAATTGCTGGAACTTGC